AATACGCCCTGGTCTTCAGCTACCGCTTGATTTTGCACCATTGATTGGCGGAAGACGATAGTTTTGCCGCTAGGTGGCACTAGTGATCTGCGCCTGCGGGTAGACTGTGCCGCACGACTTCTGTGCGGGAGTTTACGGTCGCTGAATGTAGCGCGAAAGGAATGTGAAGAAAAGAGTGTTCGCATGTGAAATAACAATACTTGTAAGAAATGTGTGCTCAAAAGGGAGCTAAGTATAGTCATTCTCCATCGTCATTATCAATCTAAGACGTTTAGGAATAAGGAATATGCCAAGAGCATAGCAGACGTTCACGGTCGTCTATCGCTGCTCGTTCATCTCGTCCACTTTTACCGTCGGTCGGCGTCCGTCAGCGTCGGCGGATGGGCTGGCTGATAGGAGCCGACACCGCGTGGCCGTCTGCTGCCAGCGGCGCTCTCCTGACAGCTGCTCCCGTTCCGCTGTGTACGGCACGCTCCGCCGGCCTTCGGCGTCCGTCCCCATAAACGGCGCGGGGGGTCCACTCCGAGACGGCGCCGGGTCGCAGTGACCCGGATCGTGGCCGACCGGGCCGCGGGCGGCGCCCCGAGGATCAGGGACGAGCCCGAGAGACCGTGGTGGCGGGGACGGAGCCGACGCCGACGCTCTTGGCCGGCAGGCAACGATGCATGGCCCGCTGCGACAGTTACCATATGCCGTCGTAGTTATGGGCCTGTACTGAGCTGTACTGATGGGCTCGAACGTAGTCGGTGGAAGATGGGTTGGCGCTAGAGGTCGGCGGTAAATCAAACGCAATTAGGCGAGCAGTTAATAAACTGTGCGACAGGCACCCGCAGCTGATGGTGAAGCTGTTATTGACGAACAAGTGGCTATATTGAAGCCAAACTTTTTTCGATCTTTGCTGACGGTGGATTTTTATGCGTGAAGTGCTTCCTTCAGTGTAACGTCTTGAGTGTCGAGTGACACCATGCCGAATGTGAAATGACTAATGAGTGACCGAGCTAGAGCTGCGCTGTGATGAGCAGACGGTGCCCAAATGCTGGAGCTGTGGCAACTGTTGAGAGAATTAGGTATGTACATGCTGTTGAGCATTGCTCTTTTTGTTGTATGTAACTAACAAAGTTAGTTACAAATAAAATTTGAAATTTAATGTGAGTGATAAGACGGTCGAATCTTCTGAAAATTCAAACTGACTTCAGATGAAAAGTATAAAAAGTCTGTGGTTTTCATGGCTTATCTAAGCGCTCACCTGTTGTGCCCATACGGTGCAGCTTATGCGAGAGGATTTCTGATCCAACATTTCAAGATTCAGAGCGACGAGATGCTGTCGGAACTCAACGTTTCCCTCTCAGTCGTCAGACAAGTCCATACGTCACCGCACTTCACGTCAAACCCGACACCAGCCTGAATGGTGCGGCCGTTCTTCAGCGACAACAAACGTTCCGTCAGTGGCATGGAGCGAGAGACTCACAAAAGAGAGTGCAAGCTCAAGTGTCTTCTATTGTGTTCCGTTTGACCTGACCAGTCTAGGAGAAAGATTCAAGGCAGAAGTTAAACATCATCATGAGTCTTTTGGTTACAAGCGTCTCGAACTTAATTTTGTTAATTGAAAAGGATTACAACTGGACATGTTAATTACATGTTAATTACCTTTCGGCAGCTACGCCATATGAGCATACGAAAAAAAACTATCATAAATTTAATGTAAACATAACACAAAAGATTAGTCCTGGTGCTGTTTTGATACCGTAAGATCATACCGTGAAAATCAGTTCATGTGGTGAGAAGAGTCCTCTCGCGCTATGTCGCCCTTCCTCCATATCGTCAGCCTTTCGATTGGTGACTGGTAAACTTGATTGTATGGCGGAAGTAGATTACTGAGGCTGGATCTGGAGCTTGACTCATTTTCCCAGTAAGTTTTTATAATAAACTAAACATTCACCAAACAAGGTGTTTATTTTACGAACGCTATCCATGATCATAATAAAATTATTTATAACATTGCTAAAATGCATTATTTATTATAATCTTCCAAGAGCATGTACATAGATGGGGAAGAGTGAGTACCAAATACAGTGCGATAGAGTGAGGTGTATAAAATGACAAGAGCATCTGACTGCCTAGCCGACAGGCCGCGACGAGAGCTTGAGTTGACCCCTTGCTTTGATGTTTAAACAATAAAAACGACTATTGACTATCCCACCGGGCACGAGAGACAAAGTCTTATTTATTTGCTTTTTTTCTGAGAACCACGGATTTCTCGATAAGACAGGAGAGTTAAGAACCCACGCTAAACTCAGGTATCTTTGGGTTTTGATATAGAAATCCATTCAATGGCATTGTGGTTATCAAATAATCGAAACGTACCACTGCTTTCTGTCTTAGTATTGACCATGTATTTTGTTCGTCTTATTTTTGTGGTCATGCTTTTTCTTGTACGACCATGGAAACCTGAAATGTTTATAGTAGTGGTAAAGCTTGTCCAAAAAGTAGTGAATATGACCGGGAATCACTTTCACAATAGCGGTGGTCGTGGAAATTTTGTACTTGGGTTTCTTGGTCACCTTGATATAGTAATGAGGATGTGGTGCCGATTTCTTAGTCGTCGAGGCATCTGGATATTCGTGCTGAGTGTAGTCAGCTGTTGATGGAGTTGTAATATAGGGATGGTAGTCGGTTGCTGTGGATGGAGTTGTTACGTAGTGGTGGTGATCGGTTGTTGTGGATGGAGTTGTAACATAGTGGTGGTAATCGGTTGTTGTGGATGGAGTTGTAACATAGTGGTGGTAATCGGTTGTTGTGGATGGAGTTGTTACGTAGTGGTGATAGTCGTTCGCTGTGGACTGAGTCGGTTGATAGTGGCGGTAATCAGTTGTGAATGGAGTCGTTACATAGGGGTGGTAGTTCCTTGTTGTGGTTGGGGTTGTAAGGTAGTGGTGGCAATCGCTTGTTGTGGATGGCGTTGTTACGTAGGGCTGGTAGTCGGTAGTTGTGGATGGAGTTGTTATATAGGGCTGGTAGTCTGTTGTGGATGGAGTCGTTATGTAATATTGGTGGTGACCTGTTGGAATTAAAGCATAGTGACTTGGCGGAAAAGTCGTGTGGACGAAATAGTGTTTGGCTGTTGTGGCTGGGGTGGCTGTGAAAATATTGTCGTAACTTAGAGACGGGGCAGATGTGGGGCCATTGGAATTGGTCGTGGAAGGTGGAGGTGAAGTCTCAGCTTGATATATGTTGGCTGTTGGAAGCGAGCTAATGTTGTAGGGAATGAAAGGACTCTCTGGTACCGATATAACATGGTGAACATCACCGTCTTCGTTTGATGACGCATCATTTGAAGAAGGCGGCGGTGGTAGCAGGTGGCCGATGGGAAATGGTTCCAGCTCGACAATACCCTCCTCTTGGTGGGGCGGGTTCTCCAGCTCCAGAGTGACCTCTGACCCGACCTCTGACCCGTCTCCTGACCCCTCCTCCTGGTGCGGTAGCCTCTGCAGCTCCACGGTGACCGGCGAGAGGTCACCGCGATGATCGTCCCAGGTCGGATTCACGGGTCGTCCCGCCGGCAGGCCGCTGTCATCCGGGTACTCCAGGCCGCTCTGGTCAAAGTAGGTGCCCTGGCGGTGCCAGAAGTTCCTAGCGCGCAGTGGAGCCGGCGGCAGCGGCGGCAGAGGCGTCGTCACGAATCGGGAGCGAACAGACAGCGGCAGGCTCGTGTAGCGGATGATGCGGGTCAGAATCTGGGGCATGGCGCCGACCTCGCAGCTCGCCAACAGAGCCAGGCAAGCCAGCAAGAGAGTCAGAAGGCTCATGGTGGGGAAATAGTAGTCCAGCACGACCCGGCAGCACTGGCAGCCGAACAGAGGTGTTGATGACTTGGATAAATACTTGACACGCACTGCAGCGCCACTGGCTGTGCTAATGATCCTGGCTGCCGTCTTGCTTTCTTCCGTCTCTCCACCTACTTCGATCTCCCTTCTTTTCCGATCTCTACATTTCAGTCTCAGTCTTCTAGTTTTCCCATCGTTTGTTTCGTTCTTATCTTCTGTATAATTACCGCTTCTGTTATTTGTCGCTGAAGAAGGACGGAACTTGTCACTTGATTGCCGCTGCACTGTTCACCGGCGGACACACTGTCGCAGTGCTAGCTTCCAATATACGGCGTTGCTTCCAATTCCCAGGAAAGTTTGGCTCTCCGAGCAGCAGAGGCCCCCGCAGCTGAGAGGGCTGCTCGGCGGAAACTGGCAGGCGCACTGAAGGACTGACCCTTTAGCCACGGCATTCCCCGATAGTAGACAGCGGGAGCGGTGAAGGGCGAAATTGGCCGTCACGCTCATTGAATCGATAATCACGGCAAAACACTGACTGGCGTGAGACACCGTCATGGATGAGCCATATCCAAACTGTCACTGAAGTCGAGCCATACTCAGAGTGGACGCGCAAGACATTTGGCTGATTCTGACTGAGTTATCCCCGAGGATGCAGGTGTTGAATTACGCAATATGCATTTCCCACTTATTTGACTGTCTCACTGTTTAATCATTATCAACCAATCAAGATTGAGCTTGCGTCAAATACATTATAATGTGACTTGTTTGGCCCCTGTATCAGTCGGGTCAGTCGCTTTAACCTCTGCTTGAACTAGTCACCCCAGCACCCGCTGCCCGCCCTTGACCGTGATAACTGATATGGTCTTATTTAGCGTCATCAAGGACCGGCACTCCTGTGTGAAACCGTATACCTCTCTGTCCAAATACAGCTCTCTATATGATGAAACCGATCGCCACACAGCCTTTCGACGAGAATCAAACCTATCGATCACTAGTTAATAGTGTTGTCACTCGTCTAGAGCCCCATCCATGCGCCATTCAACAGCGTCATCTAAACGACCCATTTAACCCGATCGCACTGCTCCAATGCCCAGGGGCCGATGGAGCCTTATAAGCCTCTGCATCCGGGTATTTGAGAATTGGTGTCTGGTGGGAACCCGCCGGCCCCCGGTAATGCCTATGACAGGTGATCCATACGGGGCCCAGGAGAGGGTCGCGGCGGCTGGCAGTTGGCCGCAGGCACCACTGCGGCGCCACGCAGCGCTATGGTATCTGGGCGTGAGCCGCCTTCGCGGGGTTTGGTGCTGGTGATTAGGGTGGTGCTGGTGTTGACCACCCTCGCCGCGGCCCATGGCACCAGAAGGAACAAACAGGTAGGCTATGTCAGTGACGGCGAGCATTATCTGCCTGGATGGCAGTGGTCTATTTATAGCGGTAGCACCTCCTGTAACTGCTTTTCAGAATTTCTCAACTCGTTCAAAAGCAATACGCGTTACACAATACACATTGTGATTATGAAAAAAGCGCAATATAACGTTTACTGCATAAGATTGAAAATTACATAAACCATTGCTCTAGTATAAAGTTTAATTCGCATTTAATACATCACAGCGCAATCAAGACAACCCAACCAGTAAAACGCCTTTTGGGCGAAGAACGAGCGAGCGAGATAGTGAGCCCTGCACTGTAAAAAAATTCACTAGCTAATTTTGAAATTATGCATTTTTTACGAGTGCCTCCCTTGCACCTCGTTACAACATATATGGACATTAGTAGTCAGAGTCATGCACGTTAACAATGCCCTTTGTGGAACAAATGCCTACGAGCGAGAGCATGTTCAGGAACCTAATTTTGCGCAATGTTAATGAACTACGCACAGCCTCACAGTGTTACCCGCCGTTGGCTTGTTCTCGGCCAGTTTTTGGCGTGTCCCTCAATTAGGTCATTTTGCTATTAGCTCAGCTGACGAGGCCCCGGCTGGCACCTACTAAACGGATAACCTTGCGTGCAACCCCGCTTGTTGTCACGAACGCCTGCAGCTGGTAAACGTGCTGGTAAGCTTGCGTGGTAAGCGGCTTCGGATGGTTATGAGGATGTGCCTCATAGCTATCCTCGTCGCATGTTACAACCTAGGAGTCTGTGGCTGCTTTCAGAAGGAGTCCCCCCCCCCCCGCATCCGGGAGCCGGCGTCCATTTTGTGTTGCGTCGCCATTACTGTGTGTGTCTGCCCAACTGCTCTTTGGCTTGATTGAAGGTGAGGCATCTTGTATCATTTGCTGTGTGCTCAACAAAAAGGTTGTCCATTTGTAAACAAAAGTTATTATGTTGTTGAGCTTCTTAGAAGATGTACAGTATATCGCATAATGTTGCCCGTCGTTGGCAGAAGTGCGCCGGTATCGTCTATCCAAGTCAGAATAGCTATATGTTTGGGACTTACGCTAGCTTGTGGCAGGAATATATCACTTTATTCAACTTTAATTTAGTCATTTTCCAGATTGGTATGCCTTATGATAATAATAATGTTAATATTGTTTTTTTTCACCCATTACAGACTTCTCTGGTAAAGAATGGGGCCATGTACATATTCCTGGCCTACCTTCACCCCGCGACTGCCGCCGGTGCAGAGCTAATGAAAAATCACAAATGTTTGATTGTGGTTATTTAAGAAACCTGATTGCAAATTATTCAGTTAGTTGTTGTTGTTGTTGTTGTTGTTGTTGTTGTTATTGTTGTTGTTAACGTTATAGTTATTGTCCTGGCGCTGTTATTTTTCTCGTTCTCGTTCTCGTGCCCGAATAAATGTGCTGCAGCGCTACTCAGTCTGTTTACTTGCGGGTGGCGGTCGAGAGTCGGGGGCACTGGTTGACGGAATTCCGTCGACGGAATTCCGTCGACCACGTGCCTCGACCCCGAAGGCCAGTAGTGGTAATAGTTAACTAGTGCCACTACTGGCCTTGAGCTAGTACCACTACTAGCCTTGGGGGCTAGTACAATTACTGGGTATGGATTAGTAGGCAGTGGCTAGTTACCTTACCAGGCAGGGGCTATTATGACACCTAGTAGACGCACTACCCACGCTATTTACGTGCGTGTTGTCAAACTAGGTGGAGCACGGTGGTCGTATGCATACGAGGCACAGCCTTGTCGAACAAGCTTGTTACTCGGCAACTAGCCTAAAATTAGCCAAATTTACACGCTCCTGCAATGTTATTTTTGCGCTGAGAATTCCTCTACGAGGGGCTTGTAAGTTTTTTTTTACAGTGTGCACTGTAAAAAAATGTCACGAGCCAATTCTATGACAAGGAGTGGGTTACACGGTCGTCCATTGTACCTTGCTGTTATATATAGGGACATTATCAGCCTGAGAGTTGTTAGTTAAAGAGTGGCCTCGTGAAACAATTGGTTACAAACGGTAACCTAATAACTTAAATGCTTCCCTAACACCCCTTCCTGCTTATCAACAGATTTCGCGCTGTGTCGGAAAACTACGCATAGTCTCATAAGTAAATCCGCCAGAAGCTTGTTGCATGCTAGTTACATGCGTGTTTCATTATCGTGTCATATCATTATTATGTCGGCTAATGAGGCACCGCCCTGCACGTGCTTTAAATATAATCCTGCGCACACGCCACCTAGTCGGAAACTCATCATCGGACTAGTCCTGGTAGGGTTTTCGTGTTGCCGAATGAGGCGAAACGACTTTGATTCGGTAGTGCCTCATAAATTCCTGCTACGGTGAGCAGCGACGAGTCTGAGACTGCTTCTAAAACGCGTCCTTCACTTCCGGCGCGGGGCCGTCATTTCCGGCCGCCATTGTTCAGTTCTGCGGCTGCCGGCGGTTGGTGCGGTTGTGTTGTGGCACGGTGCGTTGTGAAGTTCTCGGACTGGGATATTTCGAAGGTACGTTATATTGTATGATATTTACGTAGCAATGGGCGACATTTTATTTATTTTGTAATATTCTGAACACATGTTGCGTCATAGAATTCATCCCTTGACCGTTGTGGGCCACTGTTTGGTTTGAATTCCGACTATTGGAAGACGGACTTTCTTTCAGTTGCTGTCTAGCCTTTTTTCCAAATGTGTAAGCTACACATATTGCCTCACATTGATTTATCTTATACAAAAGTCAGTTGATGTAGATAATAAAGCCATCCTCACTGATATTTTAACCCGCGCGGGGCTGGGGGGGGTAAATTTTACCCCCCCTCGCGAATTTTTGCGATATCTCAAAAACGGCGGCGCGCAGCGCCGCCAAACTTTCAGTACCTTTTCTTACATCAATTTGACACGTTCCCTGAAAATTTGAGCGAAATCCGTCGGAAAATTTTTGAGAAATTGACGTTTTAGTGACGTCATGTTCGCCATTTTCGCCTCAAAAACGGCAAAAGTTCAAACGCCGCTAACATCTTCATTTTTAAAGGAATCAAGACGTAACAAAAAAGGTTATACGTAATTTTACTTTGTCTATCAAATGGCTATCTCGGTTTTTTGAAAATTTTGGATTTTGGCCTAAATTTTTTCAAAAAACTGAATTTTTTGGGGAAATCATTATGAAATCCAAAATTTTGAGTCTATCGAAAAAACCGGAATATATGTCAGAGAAGTGGTCTATGTGCACCTACATACCAAATTTTAGAAGAATCGGTTCAAAAATGTGGGAGTTATTCAGAATTTTATGACGTCACGACACACAAATTTTTTGAAAAATGACTTTTTTGGAAGTTCTAGACCTCGTACGGAAACAAAAATAGCACCATTCGATTCGCCGTGAAAAACTGCATCAGATAGACACCTTTTTAGGCCTTAACAACCAACTTCAAAATTTGACCTCACTTGACCTGACCTTGACCTGACCTCGACCTGAAATTCATCCAGAGGTGGTCCATATCACTTATTGAGTGTGCCTATTGAATTCTATGAGTAAAATGACCCATAAAACATGTGTCGCACATGCCCTTTTCTATATTTTGTTTTTTGGTGACCTGACCTGACCTGACCTGACCTTGACCTTGACCTCTGAATGATGTTGTATGCAACGAATATTGTCTTGGTAGCCTAAGAACACGTTTTGGGCGATCAGTCTCAGTCCATGACTCCATTCTTCGGCAACTACGGTGCAAGGCCGATACTGTAGAAACTTGCAATTTGTACCCTTGACCTGACCTTGACCTTGACCTCAAACTTTAAATTAAGTACATGTTTTTAGTAGTTCGTGATGAGAGCTTTCGATTGGCGTTTGAATTTTCCAAATCGGACCATTAGTTCGGGAGATAACAGGGGGGGTAAAATTTACCCCCCCCCCAGCCCCGCGCGTTCGGCTGGAGACCCCAGCCCCGCGCGGGTTAAAATCAGCAGTTAATTTTCTTTTCTGTTTGCAGAGCTGCTTAAAGTTGTGGGAGACTGAGGCATGAAGGTATACCGGAAGCCAGCGATATTTCTGTTGGTAAGCCTCGCCCAGAAAAAAATACTTGCTTGAATCTGCGAAGTATGGCAAATATTTGATGGACTGCACAGTGCACAATGTACCTGACATGGCAGGATCAACTTGCTCACTCGCCTGTTGTAAGTGCCGTTGCGTCAGAGCCCGTGGAAGTGCCCGATCGTGTCTCATGCAACCGTATTATTTTGTGAATGTTATTGGTGGTGACTCGAATCAGCTTTTGCACCACTCCACTATGATATTGTAATATGTATATTTTAGATATTTTGTATCGTATGCTAATAAGTAATAAACGTTATTTTTGTGTATGTTTTTTTTTTGTAACGTGGCTGGCACGCTGTCGTGGCTGTCGGAGGGGCGGCTGGGGAGAAGGGGGGGGAGGGGTGACGCAATTGAGCTAGTATTACTACTGGGCAGCAATAGCAGGCGCTTAGCTGGTTGGGTTACCAGGCGAGTCCTGCTAAGGAGCCTGATCGGCGTACCGATCTGCTGGTTTTGCCCTCGTTTTCAAACGAGGTACCGAATAACGAAACGAGGGGCTGACACGGGGGTGCTCGGTTTATGAGGCGTGGGCTTGTCAGTTACTAACGAAACAAGCTTGTACCCTCTTACTAGCTAAATATGAGGCGATTTTTACACGTCGCTGCATGCTCATTTTTGCGCCAGCGGTTTTCCTACAAGGGGCTTGTAAGATTTTTTTTACAGTGTGCACGTGCGGAAGGGCGAGAGGGTGCTTCCAACGGGCTTGCGCAAAGCACCCTTCTAACTGACGCTAGCGGTGTGCCAAATTTGAACGCAATCGGCCCAGCCGTTCCTGAGATCTCGAAGCGGCGTTCTGCACGTGCGCACGTGCAAACGGGGTCCAAACTGACTTGCACGGCACCCTACTAACTGTTCCCCAACCGTGTACCAAATTTGAGCGCAATCGACCCAGCCGTTCTCGAGATCTGGAAACGCCCCCTGCACGTGCGCACGTGCAGTAGCACCCTAACCGCAACACATGGGAATGCATTGCCTGGTGGGTGCCTACCTGTATGCCAAGTTTCAGCGAAATCACCCCAGTAATTACCGAGTTACTGAAATGGGAACAAATTTGGCACCTCTTATTGTTGTATTTTGCACGTGCACTGGGGGTCACTCACATAGATCAAGAGTATCCGATCTTTGGTATAAAGGATGCAGCTACCCTATAAAAATTACCGCATGACAATCGCTCAAGCCGCTGCTGAGATATGGGCCTCTCAAAATCATTACTTTTGCAAAACTGCTTGTACACCCTTGACTTTTCACGTGGCACGTGCCATGACGGTCACTGAGATGTATCAAAAGTAGTCAATTACGGGGTAGAAGGGATGGGGCTACCCAGCAAAAAAGACCGCAGGCCAATCGGTCCAGCGGTTGCTGAGATATAAGCCTCTCAAAAGCGTTATAGGCTGGGCCGGGCCGGTCCGGGCCGGGCCGGGCCGGGCCGCTCATACTGAGATTTTTCCGTTATATTGAAAAGACTTCGCTTCGCTCGCTGCGCTCGCTCGCTCGTAACAAGTATTCCTGTCGTATTACAGACCAGCATTTACGACCACGTCGGCGGCTGCTGGCCGGGCGAGGTGAGCTACCGGCTCGGCGAGGACATCTTCTGCTACAGCCTGACGCCCAAGCTGCCCTTCGCCCTCGCGCTGGCCGCCTGCCGCAACATCTCCGGCCGTCTGGCCACCATCCACAGCCAGGAGCACAATGACGTGCTGTACAAGATGCTGAACGAATCGGCATTTATCGGCGCTGTGGCGCGGAAACACATGGTGAGCCATCCGCTGGGAGACTTTGGTCCCGGGATTATTTGGAGCTGGATGAATGGAGACGCTCCCGTCTTCACCAATGTCCTGCAGACAGAAACTGAGGGCTTCTTCAAGCAGCCAGACGGTGGCGGTTTCGAGGGATGCATGGAGCTGATGAAACATCCCGTGCTGGAAGATGATCCGGGGAACGGCTTCTGGGGCGACACCGACTGTCGAGCTCCCAAGCCGGCGCTCTGTGCACGCATAGGTCACGTGAAGCGGCCATTGTCCAAGTACCCGGAGAAACAGTGGCAGTTTGAGTTGCGGAAGGACCGGCGTGCTGCCTGCGCTACAGGCTTCTCTCGAGTGGGAGTGACGCGGGCTGGTGAGTCGCACAGCAGGTCCACATGTCTGAGTAGACGTCTCGAGGCCGGAGACTTCACAGAGGCCACACGTCGCTGCCAGGAAATGAACCCAACTGCTACCGTCGCCCGTCCGTCCAGACTGGCGGGTCGGCGCCGCTGGGTGCCCTCCCTTAGCGCAGGGGAGGTGGGCCTGCAGTGGGCCGGAGCCGACAGGAGGAACGCGCTCTTCCAGTGGCAGTGGCAGGCGGACGGTAGTCGTGTGCCACCGTCAGCCTGGGCTGCCGGAGAGCCGCGCGATGGACCTGGCGAGGACTGCGCCGCATACGACCCGACCCGGCGTGGGATGGTAGCTACAGACTGCCAGAACAAGCTGGAGTTTATCTGTGAGACTGCAGCGCACGGCTGCGCCAGCGGCTTCCACGTCTCGGCCACAGGTCTGGAGTGTGTCAGGGACGACCAGAAGGACTGCGATGGATCGGAAGAGTACGCAGACACACCAAACAGGAAGGCCTGCACCGCGAAACTCTGTCCTCTCGGCTGTCCGTCCGGCTACCATCAGCTCGGTCACAAGTGCCTACTGGTGAACGATACCGCCTCCTGGTTCAAAGAAAATTCGAACGGATGCCGGAAGCAGATGATGCGAGTCATGATACCTAAAGATCCGACGGAGAACGAGTTCTTGCGGCGGCAGACGCATCGCACCGGTCGCCCACTGTGGATGGTGTACTCCAAGGCCACTGGGTTCTCGCGCTGGCACCAGTACGTCTCCTACGGTCTGCCGGGCGAACCCAATGAGCCCACAACCCTCCCCAGGCGACCGGTGAAAATAAGCCTCACGTGTCCGATCATCTGGTTCGACGGAGAGGCAATGGATGTGGACTGCTTCGGAGAGTTCCCTGTTGTCTGTCAGCGAGTCATGAAATGGAAGGACTGCGCAGAGGCAGTCGAGAAGCTGAAGGCCACCTTGTAGACGAAACATTAGCAGATGGCTGGTTGAATTGACAGTGTGTTTTCTTAGGCCTATATGTAAAATTCAAATATTAAATTTGATCGTTGGCAGTTGTACGGAAGCCGGAAGGCTATTCGAGTGAAGAACTTTGGGGTTAAGCTAAAGGGATGAAAACTTTCTATGCCCGGAAACAGCTGTCAAAATCTCCGTAAGCATTGGCCGTTTCATATTCCATATCGGTGATCAGTGACCTGACACACCACAGGATATCAAACCACTCACATCTCACGCGCTAACGAGCACACCACTCCCCGTGCAGCTCACATCTCCACCCTTCTGACCATCTGAGGTCTGATCATAGTGCGGGGCGGCTCATCCGGTGACCAGCCGGAGCACGGGTTACCCAACGGGCGCGTCCCTGCCCCATCTCGCACCCCACCGCTGTCAGTCAGCCGTTCCCATGTGGTGGGGCTGAATGGCGCACAGCGGGAGTGACCTGCACAACAGCGGAAAAACGCGGCCGGAATTGGACCGGCCGCCTCACCGCGCAGACGCGGTGTAAATAGCACGCTCGGAGACGGGGCGGCGCCGGCCGCTCAGACTGGCGGGAGGTAGTGCCCCTCTCCCCCGCGGTGATAGCCGACTGCGGCTGACACGGCACAGACTGTTCCACGGTGAGAAGACAGCACCAGTCCCGGCCACCCGACGGGACGCAAATGGACCGCTGTTTGTGTCCCCATGGCAACCAGTGCAGGTGACAAACAGCTGCTGTGCTCATACGCGCATACGATACCATGACGGACAAAAACGAAATGTTGTGTGATATATCATACTCAGTTACAGCGAAGCCTGCTCTACTCTTGTAACATTGCCACACTGGAGTCGAATATCAAAGCATCTATTCATGTTTGTGCTGAGTGACTTTCATCATATGCATCGCCATGTTTTTCGTCTAAGCGGTTTTGTATGGAGTACATACATACTACATAGGTCTTCCGTGCTAGTAGACATGTAATAAAACTGAATTCGCTTCATAGTCTGCTCGAGTTTGATGAAGCTGGTTTTTTTTAGCAAGGGAATTGGGGTACGCTCTACCACACAAAAACGGTGAACGATATAAATTTGCAAAACGAAATATGTCCGTTTGAAGAATGAGGACAACAAATTCATGAATGTCATTACTGAACGGACTCCTTGTTAGGGCAGCAGAAACAATGTAACTAAATGCCGCTACATAAATAACTAATGCTTGTCCATGAATTTAAATCTGGTAAATACATAATACTCCGGGTTTTAGGGACAAAAAGTAATCGTCTCGGCTCGGCAGCGTACTATCTCTGTTATTGGGTGTCACCTGACTGATGCTCCCTTTGGGTCGAGGTCACGCTGAGGCAGGACACTCCCGTCTGAAATATGGCCATTTATCAGAGCACCGCCTCCCTAGAGTGCCTGTCTACGCGCACGGGAACGAATGATTTATACCCCGGGCCAGTGAGAGATATTTCACATGTGAAATCGAAACGACGCTCATGACAAAGCACGGAGATCGCTCATAAATTGTCACCGGTTAGTTTTCGTACTTCATCGAAATGTCGCATGTTTTTCATATTTGTGAATGAAACATAACAACGAGCTGTACATACTGTGCACAAGCTTGTCTGGTTTCATTAATTAGGGATCCTGTAAACGTCTCCATTTTATGTCTACCTTTAAACTTGTGCTAACTGCTAGTTGCGTATTAGGTTGTCAGTTATCTCTCCAATAAAATATGCTCAATTTTGTATAAAATATTCAGGCTTTTTCTGATCGATATGCACGGGTCCATTCAGTTTTAAGTCTGAATTTCATACATCTTCGAGACAAAACCCTGTGATGAACGGAAGTGGAAGCTATCGTTTAATGAATATCTCCTCCATGTCTACATAAACAGGGCAGCTCGCGACCCTTTCACGGATTTCATTTGCATTGTAGCGAGTCCGGAGTCCACCGCTGCAGACCGCAGGCCATCTCTGTCAGGCAGGCTCAAATAGCGAGTGTCGATCTCCGAAGAGGATTGAACCGGGTCCCATGGCACCACTGAACTGGTCAACTGAGCGGTAGGCTGCTCTCCCCGACGGCCCTTTGGAAGATTATTGATGAAAGCATTCATTCTGGAAAAATACGTACGCGATTGGGTAGTTCGAAAGAAGATAGCGGAATGATGCAAATTGCAAATAATGAAAGTAAAAACACAATACCCTTATATCATTGCTTATCGTTTGAAGTTAATCAACTCTCAAAAGTTCATCACATTGACCACCTGATGGCCGAGACCGCAATTAAAGCTGTGTAAATGCCGCTTATCTTCATAACACCCAGTTCCAATGGGCATTACACAATGCAGTCCTGCTCCTCATAGGCTATCATCCATGATATAACCATGCATCATTCTATTAGCATCGCCGTTTGCCGTCCCCAAAATGGAAACATAAATGAACCGAACCTCGTTTTAGTGCATGGGTGGAAGCAACGCTATTAAAGAACCCACGTGGTGATACAAACCTATGAATATTAACAGATGGCTAATTACAGATGCTGGGGGCTAGCGAAGCGTCCGGCCGGCCGCCCTGCGGCGCTAGGCCACAGCATTTACGGCCACTGCAGGCGTCGACCGACACGGTCAGAGAAATGAATCGGGCCAGAGCAGGAATACGCACGGGGCGGGATGGGATGGTCGGGGTCAGGGACGCGGCCTGCAGCTAACGAAGGGCCCGGCAGACAGATTCGGCACACCTCCGATTGGGAAACAGTGTCCACGCGGCGAGAACGGCCTGGAGATCAACTGACCGTGGTCCATGTGACAGACAGTTGGCCGCTTAGATGACAGCCGCGAAATTGGTTGATGAATATCTGATAGATGGGTTCCATGAGTATTTGAGTCATTAACTTGCAAGCATATTTCGAGATTGATGATGAAAGTGCACGGCGATGAGCTAACAGATCGAATGACACCCATTGTATTTTTTCTCGTATTATTCAGTTGTCCTCATCAGCCTATCGTCACCCTTTCAGAGTCACATAAGGCTAAACGAGTAAGTCTCGCCAGTGTGCTGGCGGGGTCCGCTGCCCTTCTCGGTCGCTCAATGGGTGCGTGATTCATAGCTGCCCGATACCATCGGACCGACGGACGACCTCAGCACAGCAGGGAAATGGAGCCGCGGCGGGGGGCCGTCGGCCGGCATCTGTGTCGGTTAGAGCCGATCGTCCGACGTCGCTCCGCCCCGACCCGACGGCGGCACGTGCAAAAACGACGCCCACGCCGCACGCAACGTCGTCATCAGCGCGGCACCTCCCGCCGCGCGCAGAGGCGGAACTCTTCATGGGCGTGGGGAGGGTTTGAAAAGTAGGGAAGGGAGACTGGACAACGTAAGGGTGGCTCAACGAGTCAAGCGCGAACTATTCATGTGAGAATGGACACAAACGCCCCCAACCACCTATTCCGCTAGTCTGTAGAGTATGCACAATGCATGCATGCCCAGCCCACCGTGACTGTAAAACACCCTTGTTAGTCGTTAGGCTAGTCTCCAGCGGGCGTATGTCTTATCCGATACTGCTCTCAATATCACGTCAATCGGCTCGATGATCAGATATTTTCCACGATTCAGCTACCGAGGCTGACGCCTCTCCCTGTGTTCCCTGGCCAGGGCTAGTCTGATAAACAATCCAAAAAGTCGAAGTAAAAGAAGACATTCGGGTGCCACAAACATTCCGATTACACACTCTGCAGTAGACAGGATTATACGGAGGCATTCCCAGTAACATTCGTAGCTCCCAGCGCTTGTAAAAGTAACCAGGTGTGATCATCTGGAAGTTAACAGTCAGTGAGAGAAGAGTCACACGAGGTTTTGAAAACACGAGGTCTCCTGAGCGCGTCCCTCTGCGTGATTTATAACTCGGTGCTGCCGCGTCGGTGCCGGGGACGACGGACGATGTACGAGAGCGTCCGTCTGGGAACGACCGTCCGAGCCGCCGCCACGCGGCCGGACGCCTCTTCACAGCCGCTTGTAGAAACATTTACAGCACGGCGCCGCGCCGTAAACGTCTTGTTCGGCCGTGCGCCGGGATTGGTGGGGTGGGAGCCGCGGCGACGGCGACGGCAGGTCGGGCGTCCCACGGCGCGTGGCCCCGACAGATGCGTGAGATTTACCGGAGTGATGTCTCTGAAGCTGAGTGTGTGTTCATGCATAACCCTGAGGCTGGTTTTTAAGCCGCTAGATGCCGTAATCGTCACGATTGCATTGCAGCGGAGAAGACTGGTGCGAATGTATCAGGTGATAGCTGCCGCGAAGTTAAGTTCGATTTCTGACTTACGTCAACACGTTTTATTGGGAGGCTCCCCGTTGGTGGTCCGAGAATATGTTGACTCAGTACTATTGTCTGGCAGGACGATATCTCGCTCGAGATACGGTCAACACAAGGCTGCATCGGCTCTAAATCAGAGCTCAGCGCCCATTGAGCGTTTCACAAGAGGCCATTGCCGCCCATGAGACGCAGGCTGCGATTATTTCTAACAAGCATGCAAGGGACGATTTTCTCGGGTATTAAGGTAATTGAAACGCGTGAGCTGGGGTGAATGAGCGATGCGGCCGCCGTCCACTGCCGGGCGGTCCGTGTTTAGTGGACAAATAACGCACCATCTGCCACGCAACTTCATCCTGCGGCTACTCGGAACAGGCCATTGGCGCCGCTCGGTAGTCGTCAGCACCCGGGCCTCTCCAAGTGACCTCACCTCCGGGCGTCGTAGAATGGATACAGAAGAGTCGCCGCTCCGTGTGTCGGCGGTATTTAGGTTAGGGAGTACAAGGTTAGGATGAAATAAAGCATCTCAGTCTTATCCTGGCCATAAAAAGGAATTAAAAATAGAAGCGCACTTCCATCTAGAAGCAGTGCTGTAAGGCAACTGTGGTCGTGATGGTGAATAATTAAACGCACATGAATAATAAATGGTCTTTGCTGAGATGAACTGGGCAAAAATATCTTAGGATGCAGAAACTTGACCATCATCCAGTCACCTGACTGATACCAACCCCTCCGATACCGCGCATGACACCCTCCCTGGCACGTGTTGCATAACATAGGCATCAATCAGTGTCCCTCGCTTGGTGCGGCAACTCTGCCGTTCCCCACCGAGGGCCTGTTGTCCACTCAGGCGCCACCAGCCTGAATCAGATCAGCATCACCCACAAAACACGGTCTGCTGGCGGCTTTCACTGCTGTCTGGTTGTCACTTTAATTCGTTTAAACCAGGATGGGTCAAAGAGCGGAGCGGGTCACTCGGTTCTAAACATCGGCTCAGTTGTGGCGACTGAGTGAGGCATCTGGACCGTGAACATTTCCAGGCCACTGAGGCTGAGCCCAACAATTGGCAGTGATCACGCTCAGCAATGCGTAGTTATCACAAGTTGCGTGAAAAGAAGACCTACACTATTCGTAAAAATTGTGTTTCTTATTGGAAAACTTTTTTTTTTTTTTGTTGGGCTAGGCCCTTTCGGTCGACAAGACCATTGCAGAGCCGGAAGGATGATAGGAATTAGGGGGAGACATTGGTCTGGGCAGGCACCCTAGTGAGTCGCCGGGGCTGAGCCCGTCCAGAGGACAGGCCACCCAGCCCCAAGGCACTCACTGCACCCGGCTACGGGGTGCGCTCCCTCAGGAGCAGCGGTGCCGCTCCAAGGGAGCAGCCCGCATGAGATAAAGTTGCCTGTCCAGCCCGGAGGAGGCTTGTGGCGTGGAGGAGAAGGATTTCAGTATCCTGAGGATAGAAGCACGGATAGGTGTGATTGGAAAACTACCGGAGCAGCGCTCGTAAAGCTGGCGCGGACGGTGGGCCGGACTGGACTGACAGTGACCACGCTCAACTGCACGGGTAATTGGGATAGGCTGTTGTGCGGAGACGCAGTCTCCAGTGTCGTTTAGCGCGGCCCGAGCAGTCTGCTGACGTTAGGGAGCTAGCGAGGGACATTGCAAAAAGGCGGTGCTTAGATGAATGTTGGCATG